TGAAACAGCTGTATTATCTTTTATTAGTTTTGTTTAGATTTGAAAAAGTGGGATTTCAAAGACCCATCAGGGCATATTATATATATATATGTGTGTGTGTGTAATACAAAAATTATAAATACTTTCGTATTAATAAAACAATTAAAACTCTCTCGTTTTCATAAATTTCGTTGGTAAAGAATAGGTGTAGAAATTCTATTTTGGGGCTTCAAGGCTGAAAACATACCATTGAATCATAATTAGATTTATATTTCAAAGGAGGAGTTATTTTTAGAATCTTTTCCCTCTTTCATTTCCATATTAAGAAGCATTAAATGATTTTCCATAATGCGTAGAGTTACAAAGGTATGTACGACTGGAACCTGTTTACATCAAAATCTGTAACTATATAATGCGAGACCGATGATTTTCGCATGTTTCTTGCTGAATAACGTGTTCCAATAAACATCTGCCGGAACCATCCGGAGATTTGTCCACACCCCCTCCCTTGTGGAGTGGGGATGTGAACTATTAGAACCACCAGACTACCTTTAAATAAACCTTTTTATAACATATTATGGCTTTCGACTGCATTATTAAAGATGAATACAACAATGATAACAGGGATGTAGCCCTGTTAAGTTTGATTCTCATGAACCAACAATCCATGATGATTCGTGATGGTTTCAACTATACATTTTTACGATGGTTTAATGGGAATTCTTGTTGGTTTTCAGGAATACACCATCAAGAAAATTTGAGTTTTTTCATGTTGGACTATCATAAATCAGTCCAAATTCCTACATTGAAATGAGGGTTGTTCATGATATTTTCAACATTTGATTTCATTTCTTAATTACTACGATGGAAATTCGTGATGGTCCAAAATGGTACAAAAATACATTTCCATTATGGTTTAATAAGAACTCTTGTTGGTTCAGCCGGAATATACCATCAAAACAATTAGGTTTTTCTTCTGTTGGCCCATAATAAATCAGTCCGAATTCTAACATTGGGGTGATGGTGGTTCATGATCATTACAACATTTGATTTCTAAGAAGCTATGAAGGAAATTTCTGATGATTCAACACGAGCAGACCATCAAAACAAATTGCTACTCTTATGTTGGACCATCATAAATCAGTCCGAATTCCTACACTGAGGTGATGGTTACTTATGTTGGTTACTCTCAAAAAATATAATGGTTCATGATGGAACTATTGATGATTACCATCAAGATTGATCCATCAAAGGAAAATCATCAAAAAGTTTGACTAGGATATATATATATATATGTATATATAAAAACACACACACATACA